TGGGCTATGTGAGGACACATGTAAGGATCTGAATTTCAAATTTTAACATTATGTATGTATGTTCATGTAACTTAGGAAAAAAATATAATTAATACATCAAACCCATGATTTCACAGATCGTATTGCTTTCGGTGAGGCTAAGTCAAAAGAAAGTAATTGGTTTAAAGTGATTTAAATAATAATAATAATAATTATTTTTTTTTTTTTGAGGCCTGAGTTTCACTCTCATTGCCCAGGCTGGAGTGCAATGGAGCAATCTCAGCTCACTCCAACCTCTGCCTCCCGAGTTCAAGTAATTCTCCTGCCCTTAGCCTCCCAAGTAGCTGAGATTACAGGCATGTACCACCATGCCCAGCTAATTTTGTAGTTTTGGTAGAAACATGGTTTCACTATGTTGGTCAGGCTGGTCTCGAACTCCTGACCTCAGGTGATCCTCAGCCTCCCAAAGTGCTGGGATTACAGGCATGAGACACCACGCCTGACTAATACAGTTTTAAATACATAAAGAATTAAGATGGAAGATAGACACGGCTTACAGCACCTAATAACTGAAGGTGGGTTATTTGATACCTTGAGAAGGGTCTGAGAAGACCAGGTCAGCAGACCAGGCAGATGAGGTCAGGGTCAGCAGTGACCTGGGGCAGGGTGGGCCAGGTGTGCAGCCACCACTGCCCCATCCCATGATTGGGTACATGGTGTCCCTAGCTTGTGCCCTTCTCTCCCCAGCCCCACAGTTGGTCAGAATTAGCCCACAGGAGAGCAGTCATTTGCCCTCCCAGAGGCAGTTTCACTGGGACTCTGTTTCAGGGAAGCCAGGAGGTTGGGAGACACTACCCCATGTCCCACCAAGCCACCAGGTGCGAGTGTGTCACTTCACGTGGACACCTGACGCCCCTGTTTCCCTGGTGTTGATAGTTGAGACGCTGACTGCGCCCCTGCTCTCTTTCTTCCTGGCCAATCTGAAAATGGCCAGTTCTTGAGTTAAAGGGAGAACAGCTTTGACAAGACCAGGTGTTGTCTGGGTGGCCAGAGAGCTAAGGGTCAGGGTCAGCATGGCCCACTGGATATCCCCGAGGCTTTGGGGTCCAAAGGCCAGGGTTCCAGGCCTGACTGCTGCTTCCCGGAGCCTGAGAGCCATGTGCAAAGTGTCCCTCAGGGGAAGACTCGGCACAGCCGGCAGTGAGCCTCATTTCAGGGGCTCCCTCGGCCGCCCACCCACCCGCCGCCACTGTGTCTGTGCTGCCAGAGACCTCCGGCTCATCAGCCCCTTTATCGCGCTGTACACAATCAGGGGAAGCCTGGAAGGCCGCTGGGGCTGTGGACAGATGGAAAACAAAGAGAGAAAACAAAGGCACTGCTCCTAGGGGGCCAAAAGGCAGCTGCCTCCTCCCCCAGGCCTGGCCTTGGCCACCCCAGCCCTCCAGGATCTGCCCCACCCCTCCAGAAAGATAGCCTCAGAACTCACATAGGGTCACCACTCTCTGGGGACCCTCAGGAAGTCACTCCTCTCCAGGCCACCTTTCCTTATCCGTAAAATGAGAGTTGGACCACAGGCCATGTGACCTTTGGCAAACCTCCCCACTCCCCCCGCCTTCCAGGGTCTCCTTGGGAGGGCCCAGCCCATCTCTAGGAACCCCCAGCCTGTCCCGGGAAGTCAGGATGGTGCCCACTTCTGCCTGTGAGGAGGACCCCAGCCCTGCCTTGTGTGGGGTGAGGTAAGCAGGAGGCCCCTGTTTCCTGCCGAGATCTTGGGACTTGCTAGGTGCTCAGTGCGTCTGTATGGAATGAATGAATGGTTTCATCAGAAGGGGGCTTACTCTGTGTCAGCCCTGGGCGGCTGCTGCTGTAGAAGCGTCTCAGGGAAGGAAACCCTTCTGGCTTCTTGAGGGAGGTGGATAGAAGTGGTGAAGGGCGGACAGTGGCATCCATGTCAGGCTGTCTGGGTTCACATCTTGGTTGTGTGACCTTAGATTGGTTTCTTAACCTCTCTGTTGCCTCATCTGTTAAAAATGGGTACAGTACCTACCTCATAGGTTGTGGTAAGATTAGATGGATTAATTTACATAAAGTACTTAGAATAGTACAGCTAAAGGTTAAATATCACTATCCATTTCATCACTCTTATTATGATTAGAGGGAGGCTTATAGGGAAGCCCGTGAAGATTAGGCGTCCTGGTGTCTCCTGTGCACAGCCCTGGTGAAGGCTGGGAGTCGCAGGGAGCTATAGAGTGTTCTAGGTGGGAGGGATAGCAGTTTGCAAACAGGAACATTTCTGTAGAGGCATTTCTGGTAAACTGTTAAACAGGGGCCTCATGAGAAAGGGGCATGGATTCCTAAGTCCCTAGGAATTTATTTTGATTTCTTTTCTGATTCTAAATATATATTTGTAATTTGAAATGATTTTTAAAACAGGACCTCCAAAATTGCATAAGCCTCAGGCTCTGCAGCCTGAGCCACTCGTGATAGTTTCTGTGACTGTGATTGGATTTCTGTGGTCCAGCCCTGTGCAGCCCACTTCAGTGGCCCTGGCAGGATGGTCCAGCGTTGGGGTCCCAGGGGCCTGTCTTCTCACCCTGTGGACAGTGGTGTCAGGTGCAGGCTGGCTTCAGAGCTGTGGTCTACACTTCACACCCCAGGCAGAGGGAGCCCTGAGGGGCAGACGGGGAAAATGGGACCCTAAGGGAAGGTCTCTGAAGGAGTCTTCCCTGCATGTGCAGGACACAGAGCCCTGTACCCAGAGGCCTGGTGGCCAGCCCTGCTGCCCCCACTCACCGCTGGCCAGCTGTGGCAGGTGGGGCCCCTGTCTCTTCCCGCTCCCTCTCTGTGTGTGCCGCGGTGGGCAGGGGTGGGTGGGACTGTGGGAAGCAAGCTGGTGAGTTGAAACAGTCACCCCTGTCGCAGTCGTTGGGTGGCTGGTTGTGCGCCAAACTTCAGGAGGTTCCTGCCTGGTGCGGGCCCAGAATGGTCCCTGCACTCTGGGAGCTCTCCCGGTAGCTGGAACCACAAGATTTGCACCTGGAAGGGTAAGGAAGGGGTGAGCAGGGGAAGGCTGTGCTAGACCCATCTCTCTAGGAGAGGAGGCAGGAGAGCCCAGAGGTCGTGAGGGCTGGACACTGGGGGAGGGCCTCCAAGAGGACAGGCCCTCGGCTGGGGGACCCAGGGTGGGCACTGTGGGCCCTGGCGCCTCTGCCTGCAGCAGGCCTCTCGGCCTGGGCTCTGACAGGGACATTTATAACTCACAGCTGTGCGGTCCTGGGCCCAACTGACTGTGGTAAACCGATCTGGCTTCAGGAAGTCCCGTCCCGAGGCCACTCCCCATCCCGACCCCCACACTCTCCTTCACCTCCTGACACCCACATCCTGTTCTCAGCGGGAGGGGCAGGCGGTGGGCACTGGGCCAGGGGCCCAGCTAGGGTCTCCCACCTGTGGGCAGAGTGGGAGAGGATGGAGAGCAGCAGTGAGGCCCCAGCGCTGTGGGGTGTCCGCCATCACCAGCCTCCTCTCAAGGCACACACGGGGAGGCCGAGGCCCAGAGCTGCTGCGGGGCCCCCAGGAGCCCACAGGGTCAGAGAGCCAAGAGCACAGGTTGTCGGGCTCAGGGGCATGTTCTGTGCTTCCAGATCTACCTAGAGAGGGGAGAATTCGCCTTCTGGCCCCTGTGATCCCACTCTAGCCAAGGGGAGCCTGACGAGAGGGGCAGAGTGAACGAGAGGCCTCAGAGAATGCTGGGAAAAGATGCCATTTTGGGCCCTGGGCCTTGGCCTGGCCTGCTGCCCTCCTTTGGGACACCCTCTTCCTAAGATGCCTCGTGCCCATCCACCTAGATCCTCCCAGCCTAGTTCAAATGGTCTCGCCCAGTGCTGGAAAGAGAGACCACACTGAAGACTAGAGCATACCATGGCTCTGACTTCTTACTGCCCTTGGCCTGATGCGCTGACCAGTTCTTGGGCCCCGCCAGCCAGCCTTCTCCTTCTGCACAACGTCAGGGTTGATGGACAGGAGGGAGTTTGCCAGAGCCTGGTCCATGTAATTCTGGTAGTCTACGGCAAGATTCTAGAATTAGGTAGTACCCGAAAGAGCATATATTTTTGTTTTATTAGTTACAATTTATTAAAGTGTATCAGAAATACATAATTAGCCTATCAAATCGATTATTTCCAGAGCATGATTGCTTTGGACAAGGCCAGATTTATTGGAGCTTTAAAAAAAAGTGAGTGGAAGGTAAACATGAATTAAGTCATCACACAGGTAGAGCTCAGCTCAGATCAAGAGTCCCAAAGAGCATGGGGGAACAGCTGAAGTTCGAGGCGCACAACCCAGATCATCACCAGGGCTCTTTTCTGCTTTAAACTCTGCGTCTGGGCCTTCTCTCCCAGTTAGAAGCAAAACAGCCAGCCCTGAACCTCGTAGGAGGGGCAAGGGAGTGAGCTGGGTTTCCCGAGGAGGTGCGTACACACATAAAATGGCTCCAAGTGTTGGTCAGGGATCTGGTGAGCAATTCATAATGAGGAAAGAATTCAGGCCGGGGTCACAGAGTGGCTTTGGAAGTGGCTGCCGGCCGGCCGTGTGAGATAATTCCCCGAAGCCAGGCACGGTGCAGAGAGGCCACGGCAAGGGCTTCATGCGCCCGGCTAAAAATACCCCGACAGCTTCTCCCTGTCACCCCGCCTGGGGGCCGCACAGGAAAGTGATGGCGTTCTGCTTTTCTTACTAAGAGGAGAGAGACAACAACACAAAGTCCCCAGCCCTGGAAGAAACGAAACTTATATTTATCTGTTTTTTAAAGTCACACTCAGAGGAATCGGCTGGCTGGTTGGAGTGCAGCTGGGCGGGGCAGACACGGGCAACTCTGATAAATCAGGCGTCCCGGGTGTGTTGAAGTGACCCAAGAGGCCGCTGAGATTAGCTCGGCGGCAGGGACGGAGGTGGGAGGGGAGGGGATGGCTGTCTGCACACCGGGCTGCCCTCACACACGTTCCGTCTCTCTTCTGTGTACCCAGGAGGAAGAGGAGGAGGCCCGTTGGCGTCAGACCAATGCTGCAAGGGGTGTGAGGAGAGGAGCCGCTGTTTCTCACTGAGCTGCCAGACCCCGAAAGGTAACACTAGCCCCTGATGCCCAGGCCATACCATCACCTTTGCCTAAGTGTAGACAGGGCAAGCCCAGGCAGCCAGAAGTACTATGCGCCGGACCAGAGCAGAGGGTTTGCAGCCGCTTCTCCTGGCCTTTCCTGGTCCTGGCTGCAGGGCCTCTGTGTAACTCCTTGTCGGGTGCTCGTTCTGCCAGAAAAGTCTCCTGGGTGTCAGTCTGTCTCTCTCCAAAATGCGGCACTGATCTCTGGTCCTAGACTTACCCCAGCTCTTCAGAAGTCTGTGAGCCGGTTGTGTCTGATTCAGTTGTACCATCTTCGCAGTCTGGCTCCATTGGGACTCTAGGGCTGCAGCCAGGGGTCCCAGCCCTTGTGGATGCAGGATTCGGAGACTACGAGGTCCACAGTGCCACGTGGGGCTTAAGAAGAGAGGATTTTCCAAGGCAGAGCTAGCTGGAGACGTGCTTTGCTGGGGATGTGGCTGTGGTCCCCTTGGTGGCAGCATTCAAAATTCCAAAGTTCTCCCTGGCAGCTCTGGGCAGGAATTATTATCTGCATTTTCAGCCCACAAGAAGAAGGCACAGGGAAGTTCGTGGTGCCTGCCGGGGATCACACAGTGAGTTCTGGCCACGCCGCGGCAGCTCGGCTTTCTCCTATTTGCCATACACGCCGCGGCAGCTCGGCTTTCTCCTATTTGCCATACACGCCGCGGCAGCTCGGCTTTCTCCTATTTGCCATACCAGCTTCTGTGCTTTTCCTTTGACCTTTTGCTGCACTCATCCTCTCAAGAGAGGTTCTGCATTTGAGGCCAAGCAGCCACGCGTCTGTATAGTGTGCCTGTGGGACCCATCCATCCACCCACCGTCATCCAACCACTTACCTGTCCATCTCTCCATCCATCCCTCTTTCTTTCTGTCCACCCACACTCATACACCCATTCATCCCTCCACCACTCGTCCATCCTTCTATCCACCTACTTAGTCACCCATTCCCCCATCCACTCAGCTGTTCTTCCCCCAGCCCACTTACTCTTTACCTCACTCATCAAACATTCACCGACTCTCGCACCAGGCCAGGCCCGCATTAAGGCTTGGGGTTTTTGTTTTTTTGAGGCAGGGTTTCATTCTGTCACCCAGGTTGGAGTGCAGTGACACAAATATGATTCACTGCAGCCTCGACCTCCCAGGCTCAAGCGATTCTCCCATCTCAGCCTCCCATGTAGCTGGGACTACAGGCATGTGCCGCCGCATCCAGCTGATTTTTAAATTTTTGTGGAGATGGAGGTCTCACTTTGTTGCCCAGGGGTGGGTTTTTGGCTGATTCTGCAGGCAGACCCTCAGGAGGATGAGGCAACATTGCTCATGCATTCACTCCCCAGGTGTTTACCGAGAAAATCTGTCAGGAACTCTTGAAGTTTCTGAGATATTACAGGGAATAAAGCAGATAGAACTCCCTGATCTCATGGCATCTGTACTCTCGTGAGGAGGCATGGAGAATAAATACCTAAAAAGTGAATGTATAAATGTGTAAATAGATCAGGTGATGCTAAGTTTGAAGAAGAGAAATTAAACCAGGTAAGAGTCTGAGAGTCTGCAGTGTAAAGTAAGGTGTTCTTTCACAGGTCAAGGAAAGCTGCTTTTTTTTTTTTTTTTTTTGAGACAGGGTCTCACTCTGTCACTATAGCCTCAACCTTCCAGGCTGAAGTGATTCTCCCGCCTCAGCCTCCTGAGTATCTGGGACTACAGGCACACACCACCATGTGTGGCTAATTTGGGCATTTTTAGTAGAGACGGCGTTTCGCCCTGTTGCCCAGGCTGGTCTCGAACTCCTGGACTCAAGTGATCTACCTGCCTCAGCCTCTCAAAGTTCTGGGATTATAAGTATGAGCCACTCTACCTAGCCCAAGGAAGGTTTCTGTTAAGGTGGCCTTTTTAACAGAGACCTGAGTGCAGCCAGGGAGTGTATAGGGGTGCACGTGACCTGTTGAAGAAAATGCAGGCAATCCAATGTGGCTGGGGGGATGTCAGGGTTGGAGGCGAAGTCGGAGAGATCATGGAGGACCCACTCCTGTATGTGGACAAGTGTGGAGCAGAGAGATAGCTGGGAAGCTGCTGCCCACATCCAGGTAGAGGTGATGGGACCGGGGACAAAGGGGTAGTGGAGGAAGCCATTGAAGGCTGAACATATTTCAGAGACCCAGCAGGCAGGCTTGCTGGCGGATTAGAGGTGGAAGATTTTAAAAGACGGGACAGTGAAGGAAGGCCCTTGGGTTTGGGACAGGAGCCAGTGGTAGAAGGGAGGTGCTCAGCCAGGGACAATGGCTGGGGAGGGTTGCGTGAAGCTGAGGAGTTCTGTGTCAGACACATTGAGTTTGAGATGCCTTTGAGACGTTCAAGTGGAAAGATTGAGTGGGCAGCTGGATATATGAGTCTGGAAGGCAGAGAGAGGTCCTGGACTAGAGGTATAAATTTGGGAGTTGTCGTGGATTGATGGTGTTGCAAGTCGTCAGGCGGATGAGATCACTCCAGAGTATGCGGTGCCTGAGAGGGTCAGGAGCCTGAGTGTGAGTCACAGGGCACCCAGCCCTTTGGGGAGTGACGGTGGGGAAGGGGTCTGCAGAGGAGCTGGAGAAGGTGCAACCAGGGAAGGGAACAGAAAGCAGGCCCTGAATGGACAAGCAAGACTCTGCTGGGCAGTGCATGGAAAGGACTCTGTATGCTGCAGAGGGAATAGCCTACACAAAGCTCAGAGGCCTCAGTAAACCAGCCATATTTGGCCAGGGCTGATGGAGAGGGAGGAGGGACCACATTGCTTTCCTGCTCACACTTAGCCACACAGGGGCTAGGGGCTGTGGGCGAGCGCATACCCGGGCCCTTCCTGTCACCCTGGCCGACACTCCCTGACCCCGGCTGAGCCTCTTGCCCTGTCCGTGTATTTCTGTACTTTTTTCAGCTAGCACTGTGGACCTCTCTCCTCCTCTCCAGGGTTTCTCCCCCTTGACTGGGGCACTTGTCCGAAAACACAGGGCTCCAGGTGGCAGCTCCCGTGCTGCCCACAGCAGGCGAGGCACCCAGCAGCTCCCTATTGAGCACATGCGCCGGTGTGGATCCTTTATCCTAAAAGAGGAGACCCCTTCCCACGTCCTAAGTGTCAGAGCACCTCCTCCCGTTGGGGGAGCTCTCTCCTTTGGTGGGCGATTGTGTACTTGCGTGTCAGTATTGCTTCACTTCATGCTTTCTCCGTCTCTGTCTCTCTCTTTCTCAGCCTCTACCAATAACATCAGCAGTGCCCGCTCTAGGCCAGGTCCCAGGCTGGGTAGGATCCCGAGGAACAGGTGTACTTCCGACCTTCCCGGAGTTCCCCACCGCTCCATCTCTCCTTTAGCTCCGGGACGTACCTTTTTGGTGCTAAGGAACCTAAGCGTGACTTAGAATTCCAGCTTTGCCACCCACCAGCAGTATGTCTTGGGGCACTGCAGCTGCCCTGTGCTGCAGTTCACAGGAGAGGGCACCCCAAGACTCAGTGGAAACAGACCCAGGAGCTTCTGAGCTATCCTGCTCTGGCTGAGGTTTGACCCTGGGCCCATTCACCCCTCCCTCCGCAGCAGAGGTGTGGGTCTTGTCAGTTCCTCTCCCCCTTCAGTGTGCAGCTCTAGTCCCACCTTCTCCAGGAAGCCTCCCGTGACCACTCTGAGGTCAACCAGTGTTTGCTAAGCACCTGTGTTGTGCCAAATGCAGGGCTCAGGTCAGGGTGTGCAGAGATGACAGTGTAGGAGCCCTCCGCTGAGACGTGGCAGTCCAGGTGGGGTGGTGGGGGGACAAGTAAAAAACCCACACCTTCCAGCAAACAGCGAGGACCACAGGCTCAGAGAGAACAGCCTTAGCTTGGTCAGGAACGGCTGCGCTCAGTACAGCTTCCTTGAACAAGGCCAGAGGCTGGGCAGGTGAGCAAGGTGCGATGGGGGCTGCAGGGTGGGGGTGGAGAAGAGTGTGTCCAGGCAAAGGAGCCGCAGGAGCAAGGTCCAGCATGTCTGCGGAGTGAGCGCATCTGACATGACCGGGACGTGAGAGGAGGCTCAGGAGACTTCTCCAGGCTGAGAATGGAATGGAGCCAGGCAGGGACTTGTGGGCCCCCCTTCCTCGGGCAGGAGTCAAGGGAGATGCCCCTCCGACTTTGCATCGGGGGCTAGGGCAGCAGCAGCAGCTGCTCTGATGATGCATGGCTCCGTGGCAGGGTGGTGGCAGGAGGCTTCGGGTAATCTCATTAGTGTGCCCGGCGGAGGGGACGAGTAATCCCGCGCCTTTAGACTCACTTTTCTTTAAGCCTGCCCCTACCCGTTCTCCCCCTAAATCCTCGTACTGCTTTGGTGACATCAGGTGGAACTGGACTGGACTTATTGAACTGATGGGCAAAACAGCGTTAGAGAGGAAAATGCTTGTACGATACCATAGCGCTCAAGGGACAGGGAGGATCTTGGAACTGCGTTTCACTCCAAAACCTGCGATCTTATAATCCTCTACCATCATAAACTGCCTCTCCATTGACCTCATTTTGCAGGTCAGGAAACTGAGGCTCAGAGAAGGTAAGACACTTGCTCAGGGCCACATAGCAAGTCAAAGACAGAACTGGCACCAGAAGCTCACCTGGCCTGTTTGTGTTCCCACCCCACCCCACGAGCAGGCACAGGGATGCCCCCTGGTCCCTGCCCGCGTCCGCCTGGAGCACCCACTGTGCTTGGTCTTCCCACAGTCTTTGGCACCGGCTCCGGTGGAAGGTACCAAGTTCCTCATCAGAAGGCTCCATTGTGCCTATTGTTTAAATATAGATTACTAATGAAATGCCTTTTCATTGCCTTCCCAGTGAATAGTTTCCGTGTAAAGTTAATTTGCAGTGTTATGTAAATTCTGTTTAACTTCAATCAAGTTTCTAATTATGTTTTTACCACAGTAATTCCCATTTGATTTGTCATCTCCTGTTAGGTATTCAGTGTTCGGTGGGCGGGCTTGCTT